TCTGGATACCCCATACCGTTCCTCTAACTCTCTATAACTTGTTTGTTTCGCTAACCTTTCCCTAACGGCCATTTCAAGTCTTTTTTTGTCGTAATTTTGATATGGCCTTGCGCCAAGCCTCCTAACATATTTACGAGGCATGTCCCGAGTCACCCTAAAAAGTGCATTCAATCAGATTTTCTATCACAAAAAAATAAATAAAAATGTCTGAGCAAAAACGACCTTATTACATCTTTAACAACATATTAGCGGACAAAAAAATAAATAAAACATACATGTCATCACTTACCTTGATATATTTACAGACAACAATTGTAGCGGTTTGAAAAAACACCGATTCTCTATACTTTGAAAACAAATTTTTTGTCGCTGTAAAGACTCACCCGGTGCCGCCCGCATTAGGTGTATTAAAGACCTCAAAGTGTATGCTAATCCCCAGAATATTTATGTTGACCTCCCACCTTGCTCACCCCTGTTGCCAATTTTTATGGAAGCGCGCGCCCAAGTGTCCCAAGTCAACCCGTAGTCCAGAGTCACCCCGTTTGACGGTACCAGAAAAAGTTGGAAAATTTACATTAAATCACCTTTGAAAAATCCTGAAAAATACTTGGAAGTATCAGATCGACTTGGAACTTTCAGGATTCATTAACCAGGATCTTTTCATCAAATGAGGTAAATTTGAAGTCAATTTGAAGCTCAGAAATAAAATTATGAGGTTTTCTCCAACTAAATATCAGAAAAAGTTGGAAAAATTCACGTTAAATCACCTTTGAAAAATCCTGAAAAATACTTCGGAGTATCAGATCGATTTCAAACTTTCAGAATTTATTAATCAGGATGTTTTCATCAAACGAGCCAAATTTGAAATCAATTTGAAGCTCAGAAATAAAATTATGAGGTGTTTTCCAACTTAATACCAGAAAAAGTTGGAAAGTTTACATTAAATCACCTTTGAAAAATCCTGAAAAATACTTGGAAGTATCAGATCGACTTGGAACTTTCAGGATTCATTAACCAGGATCTTTTCATCAAATGAGGTAAATTTGAAGTCAATTTGAAGCTCAGAAATAAAATTATGAGGTTTTCTCCAACTTAATACCAGAAAAAGTTGGAAAATTTACATTAAATCACCTTTGAAAAATCCTGAAAAATACTTGGAAGTATCAGATCGACTTGGAACTTTCAGGATTTATTAACCAGGATCTTTTCATCAAATGAGGTAAATTTGAAGTCAATTTGAAGCTCAGAAATAAAATTATGAGGTTTTCTCCAACTAAATATCAGAAAAAGTTGGAAAAATTCACGTTAAATCACCTTTGAAAAATCCTGAAAAATACTTCGGAGTATCAGATCGATTTCAAACTTTCAGAATTTATTAATCAGGATGTTTTTATCAAACGAGCCAAATTTGAAATCAATTTGAAGCTCAGAAATAAAATTATGAGGTGTTTTCCAACTTAATACCAGAAAAAGTTGAAAAATTTACGTTAAATCACCTTTGAAAAATCCTGAAAAATACTTGGAAGTATCAGATCGACTTGGAACTTTCAGGATTCATTAACCAGGATCTTTTCATCAAATGAGGTAAATTTGAAGTCAATTTAAAGCTCAGAAATAAAATTATGAGGTTTTTTCCAACTTAATATTAGAAAAAGTCGAAAATTCACGTTAAATCACCTTTGAACAATACTGAAAAATACATCGGAGTATCAGATCGATTTCAAACTTTCAGGATTTCTCAACCAGGATCTTTTCATCAAGTAAGGTAAATTTGAAGTCAATTTGAAGCTCAGAAATAAAATTATGAGATTTTTTCCAACTTAATACGAGAAAAAGTTGGAAAATTCACGTTAAATCCCCTTTGAAAAATCCTGAAAAGTACTTAGAAGTATCAGATTGACTTGGAATTTTCAAGATTTATTAACCAGGATCTTTTCATCAAATAAGGTAAATTTGAAGCTCAAAAATAAAATTATGACGTTTTTTCCAACTCAAGACCAGAAAAAGTTGTAAAATTCACGTTAAGCAGCTTTGAAAAATCCTGAAAAATACTCTAGAGTATCAGATCGATTTCAAACTTTCAGGATTTATTAACCAGGATGTTTTCATCAAATTTGAAGTCAATCTAAAACTCAGAAATAAAATTATGAGGTTTTTTTTTCAACTTATTACCAGAAAAAGTTGGAAAATTTACTGTTATTTAACACATTTGAAAAATCCTGAAAAATAATTGTTCTAAAATAACTCTGAAGTTTCTGAATTGTTCCAAAATATTCGTGAAAACTCTAATTTGGATTTGAAATGTTTTGGATGCTTATTACAGCCATTTTTATTCGCTCTTGAAAGACGTTTTCGACTTTTTGTAACTTTTAACCTGAATCCTAGAATTCTGGCCTGGCGCTCAGTGCCAAAATGTTCTTGGAGATTCTAGTTTGAGTGTTCTGGAGCGTCTTGAATTGTTCTTCAATTTTGGAAATTGTAAATTGGTTCTTGAATATTTTGGGGTATTCTTAGGAGGTTTTGAAGTTCCTCAAATGTTCTGAAACGTTACAGAATGCTTTTGGAAATTTTGAATTGAATTTTAACAGCTGTATGCAACATCCTCTTTTAACTTAAAAGCGCTTTTTAAAACTGGTACCTTTAAAAATTTTCTATGGCTTAGAATACACATTTTTAAAAGTGATCAGTTTTAAAAAGCGCTTTTAAGTTAGAAGAGGATGTTGCGCACAGCTGTCATTAAGTGTTTTGAACTTTCTCATTTAAATTTTAAAGTGTTCTATAAGATTCTAAATGGTTTCTAGTAATTTCTAAATTGAATGAGAAATGAATTCGTGGAAAGTTTTTGTAGACGTCTTAAAGATAAGATGTCCATAAACGATATTCAAGACGTCTTGCGTCTTTTTTTGGTCTTCAAACGTCTTTAAGGCGTATTAAAGACATTTTGAAGACGTCGTATGTTACAAAACCCAGACGTCTTTACGCACTAAGATATTCTAAAGACATCTTCAACGAGATGTTTCAAAGACGTCTTTGCGAATATATGTCTTTTCAATACCTACTATACATAAACCATTATTCAGTTCTAGGCCTATAAGATGAGAGGTCACAACATCTTATGGACATCTTCAAAACAACGCGTCTTATAGACGTCTTTATTTGATCTTCAGACGTTCAGACGTAAAGCATTTGTGAATAGGTCAAAGCTGTCAGTACTTCAAGTAAATTACTTGGGAAATGTATTTCAATTACTTTTCAGTATTTGAAGTACTATAATTCAAATAGTTTTGTTTTTGGATATTTGTACGTGATTCTGCAAATACTTTCAATAAAGTACCTATTTGTATTTAGTATTTGGATTAACAAAGAAGTAATTCAAATACTAGGCATTTGTTCTCAAAAATACTTAAAATATTTCAAATACCCCAGAAAGTAATTCAAATACTTTACCAAATGTTAAATTATTATGTCCTACAGCAGATATGATTGACGATTTTTTTGAACTGGATGATGGTTCCTACTTCCCAGAGAGTCTTAAAAATAACAATAAAAGAAAATTTGAACTGGAAATTCTTTAATATGCAGAGGATAGATATAAAATCCATGGATAGGTCCTGTTATGAAACAAGTTCTTCATAGGTACAGGATGTCAAGTTATATAAAGTACCACCTGTACCTTTTTTATTTTTGCTCGTCATTAGCCTCTGTAGAAAGACTTTTTATTTTTGAAAAATAGTGAAGTAACTACAATCCGCAACTGGAATCTTGGAATCAGGAATCTTTGTAGTACTTTTTTAGAGGTAATGCAAGTATTTTCAGCTTTCAATACAATTTAAAAAAAAAATCATTTAATAATTTTAATTCCTTTTTAGTGGGTACTTGAAGTACGTACCTCTTATTAATTATTTCAAATACACATAAGGTATTTCAAATATTTAATTGACTATTTGAAATACTTACAGAATATTTGAATTATTTTACTTGTAAAAGTCAAGTACTTGAAACTTGAAACACTTTTCACATTGTAAGTATTTAGTATTTGTACTTACAACATGAATTATCCGTAATTGATATTTGGTATTTGAAATACCTACTATTCCCGAGTATTTGTGACAGCTCTGGAATAGGTACCTACTTATGTAGTAAAAAATATAATCCAAAAATGAAAATGCAAGTACCTATAGTATTTCCAAACTTAATTGGAACAAGGTATCAATTATAGTGGCTGAATGGTCACTGAAAATTTCCATAAGAAATGCATTGCCACATTTGCCACTAGTCAGCCACCCCAGTTATGATTTATTATATTCACCTTGTTACCTATTCTAATTGACTGGAAAAATTATACCAAAATAGCTATTTATGCAACAAGTGTGAAAAAGGGGACTTTACACACATTTTTTCTACTACTGACAATATAAAGCCATAAATTTAAAAATATAGGTATTTATCATAATATTTTACGCTCTAGTGCCTAAAGTACCTTATCTCATTATTTATTTATTTATACTGGTAAGGTCCAAATTATAGACTGACTGGTAAACGTCTGGTTGTTATCTAGCAGGTACTTTCTATGCACTAGAGAATAGAAAGTACCTGCTAGGTAACAACCAGTCACCAGTTGGTCCATAATTTGACCCTAAATAAAGTGACAGCTAAACATAATTTTAAGTCTTTTAAGGAATACGTAAAGCAAGTACTTTACACATAGTAGTAGTACTCTATGGTAGTAAGGTAGTAATAGTGGAAAAATATTCAAATACAAACTTAGGGTAAAGTTTTCATTTAGCAGAGTTCTTTAAAATCTTATTCCTTTCAATAACGAGTCCAGTAACTAGATGGCGCCATGTGACGTTTTCAATTTCCCGTCTCTTTTTGTTGCACTCACTAGAAAAAGACAACCCTTCACCCAGTGATGTCAAATCACGTGCTTTATTTATTGTCAAAATCATATGACGTCTGGGCGAGGTGTATAATTTCGCCAGTGTAGTTTTTCTTGGGACCTCATTCAAACAAATTAACAAAAAACCAGGATGAAGGGGTGCATTTTTAACATCGACAACGGCTACTTGGAGGGTTTATGCAGAGGCTTCAAGTGCGGAATCCTCAAACATGCTGACTACCTTAATTTGGTCCAGTGTGAAACACTTGAAGGTAACTTTATTTTGTAATAAGTCGAAAGTAAAATACCAACAGCCCCCTATTTGTTTCAGACTTGAAGCTCCACCTTCAAAGTACAGATTATGGCACTTTCTTAGCCAACGAACCTTCGCCTCTTGCTGTTTCAACAATAGACAGCAAACTACGTGAAAAGTTGGTCATCGAATTCGAGCACATGAGAAATCAAGCTGTAGAGCCTCTTTCAACTTTCTTGGACTTTATCACTTACAGCTACATGATTGACAATATCATTCTGCTGATAACTGGCACCCTGCATCAGAGGCCTATCAGCGAACTGATTCCCAAATGTCACCCTTTGGGTAGTTTCGAGCAAATGGAGGCAATTCATGTGGCTTCTACCCCTGCTGAGCTGTACAATGCTGTCTTGGTTGACACCCCTTTGGCCCCATTTTTTGTTGATTGCATTTCTGAGCAAGATTTAGATGAAATGAACATTGAGATTATCAGAAACACTTTGTACAAGGCCTTTTTGGATGGATTTTATGATTTTTGCAAGGAAATTGGAGGCACTACAGCTGAATGTATGTGCGAGATTTTAGCTTTTGAAGCAGATCGTCGTGCTATTATTATTACTATAAACTCATTTGGTACTGAGCTGTCCAAAGATGACAGAGCCAAGTTGTACCCACGTTGTGGCAGGCTTCACCCTGATGGTCTAGCAGCCTTAGCCAGAGCTGAAGATTACGATCAAGTCAAAGCAGTTGCTGAATACTATGCCGAATATCAAAAACTATTTGAAGGTGCTGGAAACAATCCAGGAGACAAAACTCTTGAAGACAAATTCTTTGAGTATGAAGTACGTTTGAACATAAATGCTTTCATGCAACAGTTTCACTTTGGGGTGTTTTATTCGTACTTGAAACTCAAAGAGCAAGAGTGTCGTAATATTGTTTGGATTGCTGAGTGTGTAGCACAAAAGCACCGAACCAAGATTGATAATTATATCAATATTTTTTAAAGATTTGAATCAGTATTTTTGTGTCATTCCATTAATTGTTGTTGTAGATAAAAAAAAAAAACAGCTTGTTTAGGACTAAATTTTGTTAAGTATTATTGTGCACACGTTTAAATTATAGATTTTTCTTTATACTCAATGTATGTTTTACCTTGTAAATCTGATTTATCATTTTCTCTGTTATTAATATAATAAATGTTACTCTATATAATATTCAATATATGTGTTTTTTTATAAAATACCAATTCAAGATGCCAAGGATAGTTCAAATTATGATTATTGCTGGCTCCTCATTCACTTCTGTAAACATTCAACATTCAATAGCTCGTGATTCATACTTCTGACAGCAAGAGCACCAAAAACTGTCCCAAAAAGCTTCAAACATTAAATATAATCAATCGAGAGCAGACAAATAAAAGTCAGCATTGAGAATTTTCATTAATTTACACTTACCACTTTTGAATTTTTATTTGAAAATCTTAAATATCTCGGTAACCAAAAGCGATATTGGAATAAAATTTTTAGAAATTGTAGCTCTTGAAAAGGGGTTTCAATGGCATTTAGCTGAAATCGCTAGCATTTATAGTTTTTGAGAAAATCGAGATTTAAGTTTTGGACAAAATTTTAACTAAATTTCCACTTTGAGGCTCAATATCTTGGAAACTTTATAATCCACAAAAATCTATTTTGCACGGGCTTATAGAGAATTTAATGCTCTTTTCAATAATATATAGTTATTATTATTTACTGGAAAAATAACCAAAGATATAAGCAATTATTCATGAGCATGTCAAGATTTCAAAAAATGTCCAGAGCCAAACATAAGATTTTCTATTGGATTTTTTTTCTCATAGAAATTTCCAAATGTAATTGATGTTAGAGTGGTTTCTAACTAATTTGGACTCGCCTAATCGATTTCTAAAGTCAAAATTAAGAAAAATCCAAAAATAGAAATTTTCAATTTTTTGCACTTTTTTCTAAGGGTTATCCCCTTGGGATTTTTAATTGGAAATCTTCATTCCTTTATATCTCAGTAACCAAAAGCGGTATTGGAACAAAATTTTTAAAAATTGTAGTTCTTGAAAAGGGGTTTCAGATGGTATTTAGCTGAAATCGCTAGCATTTATAGTTTTTGAGAAAATCGAGATTTAAGTTTTGGACAAAATTTTAACTAAATTTCCACTTTGAGGCTCAATATCTTGGAAACTTTATAATCCACAAAAATCTATTTTGCACGGGCTTATAGAGAATTTAATGCTCTTTTCAATGATATATAGTTATTATTATTTGCTTGAAAAATAACCAAAGATATAAGCAATTATTCATGAGCATGTCAAGATTTCAAAAAATGTCCAGAGCCAAACATAAGATTTTCTATTGGATTTTTTTTCTCGTTGAAATTTTCAAATGTAATTGATGTTAGAGTGGTTTCTAACTAATTTGGACTCGCCTAATCGATTTCTAAAGTCAAAATTAAGAAAAATCCAAAAATAGAAATTTTCAATTTTTTGCACTTTTTTCTAAGGGTACCTATCCCCTTGGGATTTTTAATTGGAAATCTTCATTCCTTTATATCTCAGTAACCAAAAGCGGTATTGGAACAAAATTTTTAGAAATTGTAGTTCTTGAAAAGGAGTTTCAGATGGTATTCAGCTGAAATCGCTAGCATTATAGTTTTTGAGAAAATCGAGATTAAAGTTTTGGACAAAATTTTAACCAAAATTCCAATTTGAGGCTCAATATCTCGAAAACTTCACAACTTACAAAAACCAATTTTGCACAGCCTTATAGAGAATTTAATGCTCTTTTCAATGATATATAGTAAGTAGTAATTTGCTTTAAAATAATCAAAGATATAAGCAATTTATTCATGATCATCGTCAAGATTTGAAAAAATGAGATTTCTTTTTGGATTTTTTTTCTCATAGAAATTTCCAAATGTAATTGATGTTAGAGTGGTTTCTAACTAATTTGGACTCGCCTAATCGATTTCTAAAGTCAAAATTAAGAAAAATCCAAAAATAGAAATTTTCAATTTTTTGCACATTTTTCTAAGGGTTATCCCCTTGGGATTTTTAATTGGAAATCTTCATTCCTTTATATCTCAGTAACCAAAAGCGGTATTGGAACAAAATTTTTAGAAATTGTAGTTCTTGAAAAGGAGTTTCAGATGGTATTCAGCTGAAATCGCTAGCATTATAGTTTTTGAGAAAATCGAGATTAAAGTTTTGGACAAAATTTTAACTAAATTTCCACTTTGAGGCTCAATATCTTGGAAACTTTATAATCTACAAAAACTAATTTTACACAGGCTTATAGAGAATTTAATGCTCTTTTCAATAATATATAGTTATTATTATTTACTGGAAAAATAACCAAAGATATAAGCAATTATTCATGAGCATGTCAAGATTTCAAAAAATGTCCAGAGCCAAAAATGAGATTTTCTATTAGATTTTTTTTCTCATTGAAATTTCCAAATGTAATTGATTTTAGAGTTGTTTCTAACTAATTTGGACTCGCCTAATCGATTTCTAAAGTCAAAATTAAGAAAAATCCAAAAATAGAAATTTTCAATTTTTTGCACTTTTTTCTAAGGGTATCCCCTTGGGATTTTTAATTGGAAATCTTCATTCCTTTATATCTCAGTAACCAAAAGCGGTATTGGAACAAAATTTTTAGAAATTGTAGCTCTTGAAAAGGAGTTTCAGATGGTATTTAGCTGAAATCGCTAGCATTTATAGTTTTTGAGAAAATCGAGATTTAAGTTTTGGACAAAATTTTAACTAAATTTCCACTTTGAGGCTCAATATCTTGGAAACTTTATAATCCACAGAAACAAATTTTGCACAGGCTTATAGAGAATTTAATGCTCTTTTCAATGATATATAGTTATTGTTATTTGCTTCAAAAATAACCAAAGATATAAGCAATTATTCATGAGCATGTCAAGATTTCAAAAAATGTCCAGAGCCAAAAATGAGATTTTCTATTAGATTTTTTTTCTCATTGAAATTTCCAAATGTAATTGATTTTAGAGTTGTTTCTAACTAATTTGGACTCGCCTAATCGATTTCTAAAGTCAAAATTAAGAAAAATCCAAAAATAGAAATTTTCAATTTTTTGCACTTTTTTCTAAGGGTATCCCCTTGAGATTTTTAATTGGAAATCTTCATTCCTTTATATCTCAGTAACCAAAAGCGGTATTGGAACAAAATTTTTAAAAATTATAGTTCTTGAAAAGGGGTTTCAGATGGTATTTAGCTGAAATTGCTAGCATTTATAGTTTTTGAGAAAATCGAGATTAAAGTTTTGGACAAAATTTTAACCAAAATTCCAATTTGAGGCTCAATATCTCGAAAACTTCACAACTTACAAAAACCAATTTTGCACAGCCTTATAGAGAATTTAATGCTCTTTTCAATGATATATAGTAAGTAGTAATTTGCTTTAAAATAATCAAAGATATAAGCAATTTATTCATGATCATCGTCAAGATTTGAAAAAATGAGATTTCTTTTTGGATTTTTTTTCTCATAGAAATTTCCATATGTAATTGATGTTAGAGTGGTTTCTAACTAATTTGGACTCGCCTAATCGATTTCTAAAGTCAAAATTAAGAAAAATCCAAAAATAGAAATTTTCAATTTTTTGCACTTTTTTCTAAGGGTATCCCCTTGAGATTTTTAATTGGAAATCTTCATTCCTTTATATCTCAGTAACCAAAAGCGGTATTGGAACAAAATTTTTAAAAATTGTAGTTCTTGAAAAGGGGTTTCAGATGGTATTTAGCTGAAATCGCTAGCATTTATAGTTTTTGAGAAAATCGAGATTTAAGTTTTGGACAAAATTTTAACTAAATTTCCACTTTGAGGCTCAATATCTTGGAAACTTTATAATCCACAGAAACAAATTTTGCACAAGCTTATAGAGAATTTAATGCTCTTTTCAATGATATATAGTTATTATTATTTGCTTGAAAAATAACCAAAGATATAAGCAATTATTCATGAGCATGTCAAGATTTCAAAAAATGTCCAGAGCCAAAAATGAGATTTTCTATTGGATTTTTTTTCTCATTGAAATTTCCAAATGTAATTGATTTTAGAGTTGTTTCTAACTAATTTGGACTCGCCTAATCGTTTTCTAAAGTCAAAATTAAGAAAAATCCAAAAATAGAAATTTTCAATTTTTTGCACATTTTTCTAAGGGTTATCCCCTTGGGATTTTTAATTGGAAATCTTCATTCCTTTATATCTCAGTAACCAAAAGCGGTATTGGAACAAAATTTCTAGAAATTGTAGCTCTTGAAAAGGAGTTTCAGATCGCTAGCATTATAGTTTTTGAGAAAATCGAGATTAAAGTTTTGGACAAAATTTTAACCAAAATTCCAATTTGAGGCTCAATATCTCGAAAACTTCACAACTTACAAAAACCAATTTTGCACAGCCTTATAGAGAATTTAATGCTCTATTCAATGATATATAGTAAGTAGTAATTTGCTTTAAAATAATCAAAGATATAAGCAATTTATTCATGATCATCGTCAAGATTTGAAAAAATGAGATTTCTTTTTGGATTTTTTTTCTCATTGAAATTTCCAAATGTTATTGATGTTAGAGCTGTTTCTGACTAATTTGGACCCGCTCTATTGATTTCTAAAGTCAAAAATGAAAAAAACCCAAAAATAAAAATTTTCAATTTTTTGCTCTTTTTCCTTTTTGGATTTTTATTTGCAAATCTTCAAACCTGAATATCTTGGTAACCAAAAGTGGTACAAAAAATTGTAGCCATGGATATAAGAGCTTCAAGATGGTATTCAGTTGAAATCGCTAGCATTTGGAGTTTTTGAGAAAAACAAGTTTGAAGTTTTGGACAAAATCCCGACTAAATTTCAACTTTAAAGCCTAATATCTTGGAAAGATTCACAAGCTACAAAAACCAATCTTGCACAGGCTTATAGAGGATTTAATACTCTTTCCAATGATATATAGTTATTACTAATTTCCTCAAAAATAATCGAAGATATAAGCAATTATTCATGAGCGTGTCAAGAAGAACACTTTAGAACTTCAATAAGCCATTTAGAACACTTTCCAGCAATATTTTGAACAATTTGAAAACCTCGGAATTATTTTAGAGCCTGAAA